ATTTACATTTGTTTCCTAAATTTGTTAGCTGTTTCGAAAATTTGTCTCCCCCCATACATATTTAAGTTTTTTCTCCACATGTACTCTTTTATTAGTGCGATAAATGATAACCATAAATGTATTACGACTAGTCTATCAAGTAGTGTAGCATATTTTCTGGTATATCGAATATGATTGCTTGTTTAAAGTCTATTAAGTGATGTAGCACATTTCTATGAGATCTAAAAGGCTCATATCTATAAGGGCACGTCCAAGATCGATAACAGCCTATGGGGCCACATCCAAAACTTAAGGAACACGTCCAAAACTTGGGGAACAAATCTTCGAATGTGAAGGTGAATTTCTAGAGGCTCATGGCTACAAAAAAGAACGTGTTAAGCACGAAGGACACTCGCACTCAGCCAAATTGCAAGATTTTTACTTGTTTTATCCAAGTTTTTCGTTCACTGATCTTTTGTTTTGCTCGGTCAGCCAGTAAGACGATGGGGATAAGCTTAGATCATGTTCCTTTCGAAGGTATAGATCGTCTGACCAATTATACAACGATCACGTGTTTATTCATACCGCAAGTTCAGAGCTTGGTCTTCATTTAAAGAGTCTTCCTTAAGGGGGGCTGTCATCCATTTGGCGAATTTTGGAAGAAACCAATTAGAATACGACCAAGAGTGTGTACTTCTCATATCTCTTGAATCCATAACACATTACATCATTTTGCATGTTGAAAGTGTTGAAGGATGCCTTTTCTAGTACTTAGTGTGCATTTTGTAGGATCATTACTAACTGTTCTAAAAGCTTAAGTTGTTAGATAAATGCGCGGTTTAATATTTAATTATTCTAACACTTAAGAAGAAGGTGCTGCTTCTCTCTCCTTCATCTTCATTATGGACTCGATCGATACCGTGGTAATACAGAGCTTGTCCTGCTTGAGAGACCACGGAATGGAGAATGTGATTAATAATGTTTTTGTTTCACTGAAAATTTCATAATAAAGGATCATACTTTCGTGGAAAAATCATTTTCAAGGAAAATGGTTAGTTTTCCTTCATTTGATGGTACGCTGAAAAGCACGTAAAAACTCTATCTAAAGATAGAAGATGAAGAATTTACCGAGCATCTATGGTAAGGGACTTATTATGCTCAGAAAAATGATTTCCTCTGTTCAGAATCGGGAATTCATACTTCAAAGTTTAAGTATATGGGTGTTCTCTTCAACCGAAAATGTCTTTCCTGTTGACTAACTATTTTCGACGAACCAAACACGTGAAAGTCCGAAAAACTGGTTAGCGAAAAGCTCTTCTGGCGAAACAAATACATGCCTAGTGATTTCAAATTAGTTCGCATGGTCAACGTCTTTTGCTTTGTTTTTAAGTTATCTGCTATGGCCACCTTCCGTGGAACTTGCTCGCCTGTACGGGTACGAGGATACAGTAGATCTTCGTTGGCTTCTGGGAGAACCCGTCGCTAAGGTTGTGGTTGGTTTACTCTCTCTCTCTCTCTCTCTCTCTCCAATTTACGCTTCCTTAAATATGTCGGACACGTGATTAAATTGAAAATTAAATGATTCAGCTCCAATGTCAAATGTCGCATAATGTAAGCAACCTTCAGTGCAAACTTACCTCCTGATTATCTCGGACTCTCCCACCACTGAAAAAGAGCATGATGCATGGGAGAGTCAAGGCATATGCTTAGCTTCATATGTAAGCTAACGTACCAATTCCGGTAAGGGGAGGACCTGTTAAGTGTCCACATGTTCTTGTGCTCCGTCGATCAGTCGTTTGATGGGCGTTAATATGTACATACTTACCAAGCAATCTCCCTTCTCTCTTGGTCTTGTTACTAACTAGGAAACATCACGTGCATTTGTTGATGTCCACTCTCGCCGAGGCCGAGGCCGAGGCTGTGGTCTCGGTCACCACTGTTGGTAGTTTGTTTATAAATCAAACTTGGAAGTGCCTTGTCCGACATAGAATATAGGGGTCGACAGAACAAGCACACTGTGAATGGCTGTAGCTGTGAACGGCTTTGTGAGAATAGGCATTTTGTGTTCAGATTTCTGCGAAGAAAATCGTAGTGGTGATATTTGATCAGCATAAGAAAACTCAGTTGCTTATTAAGGGAGAAAACAAAAGAGAATCATGTGGTTACCATACTGCGTAGCGATCTAGGATGATATGAATTTCTTTCTGTCTTCGCTTGTTTTGAACTCTTACCTCTGATTGTCAAAGATTGTCTCTTCATTTATTTGTGTGATTACCAAGTTGGTAGAGATAATGAAGTGCAGACTTGATTCGTACCTCTCTACTGCTTATTGTTCATCATCATGCTACACCGTATACATTGCCGCCGTTTCTACACGTCTATTGGCTGGCTGACTCCTTATGGTATCTGAAGTGCTTGAACTCCTGGTTTGATTATCATTAGCAAATCTTTATTTTCCGCGAATCTTCATTTTTCCTGTGGAGAGTCAGATTCAGTTAAATGGCAAATGAATTTTATGGGATTATTGTTCTGTTTTTAAGGGCAAACATGAATCACGTAATGCCAAATTGATGAAAATTCTTGCTATTTCTTTTGACATCCAGCATGGACACATGACAAGAATATTCTTGCTATGTTTGTACACATTAGCTTTGGATGATTGCTGAAAAGATTCACTGCCACATTCAATATAATTGGCATTATTTTGTTTTACAACATGAACATGAACATGCATATCTATATGTTTGATCTTATGTCTATACATGTTATATCACTTGTTATGACACGGTGAATGTTTGTACATGTACGGGCTCTGGCTATAGGCTGTTCTGCTCTTCGTATTGATATTCTCATTGTTAGGGATGCCTCATTCATCAAGATTGATTTGTAGTCTGACAATATGATATGGAGGCATGGCTAAAGGCTATATGTTCCCCACTCTCCAGGATGTCTCGCTGTGATATAATTAAGGCATTTTATATATTAAAAGCATACAATGATTTGAACTGGATATTGGATTTAGATGGGACAAAATCCACTAATGGATATGTGTTCACCTTGTGGAGGTGTTGTAACTAGGAAATCAGTACAACAAAAAATTGTGGGAAAATGACAATTCTGCTAAACCAAAAGTCGAATTGGTTGAGCATATGATCTGATGACGTAATTGCTGCGGTCATTCCTAAGCCAATATCGTAGGAAATGCGAAGAATGAGTGGTAGACTCAGGTGCGATCTATCATATTTGTACAAACATAATGGTTTATCCTTTAATAGGAGAAAGAGAAGAAAATATTTATCTTGGTGATTCAAGAACTGCTCAAGTTTTTGGGAAAGGGAATGAAACCGACACTTTACATGTCTAAGCATTGTGATTGCCAAGTGGCAGTAGCCATTGCAAAGAATGATTCTTTCCATGGTAAAGAGACACATCCGGTTAAGATGTGATGTGGTAAAATAATTATTTAAAGATGAATTATCTCAGTTGATTATATAAAGTTAGAAATGGATTTGGCTGATCCATGATGGTAACCCAACCTATGTGATTGGCGATCCCAGGAATTAGGTTCATATGGATAATAACAAGTCACTTGTTGATTAAGTGATGCACTATTAAAAATTTCTGTCCTCCTAAGGTGAGAATAGTGCAAGACTACAATGAGAAAGAGGTTGATCTAAGCTCTTAATGCCATAGCCATCATTGGTGGTGTATTAAATTGCAAAATACATTTAATGGAATCACTTATATAAATGTGGAGTAAGACCGCTCTTATGAGAATTTTGAACAACAAAGTTTTTGGGAGTGTAATGTGATTGGTAAAAATTATAATTCACAAAAGAAATTATTAGTTCATAGAAGTTTCAAACTTCATCAATGATTTCGTGAATTATATTTTATTTTTTATATGTTTGATTAATAGCCTAACAAGCACTAGTTTCGGTGCATTACATTAAATTGAGTTTAACCCAGCATTTATTTTTCTTTTCTTTTCTTTTCAAAACTTTTTAAAATCTGTGGGAACATATATTCTTTATAGGTTTGATTAATAGCCTAACAAGCATCAGTTTTGATGCATTACATTAAATTGAGTTTAGCCCAGCATTTATTTTTCTTTTTTTTCAAAACTTTTTGAAATATGTGGGCACTGTTGGATATTTCAACGGTTTTGAATTATTCAAAATAATAATTTTGTAACGACTTTAATGGAAATTATAACTACAATCAATTTGTAACGATTTTGTAACTTTTGATTAGATTTATTTCTTTATTAACTCTCTCGTTTATTTGTCTATAAAGAGAATCTTCAAATCACAATAAAAACCTACCAAAAACAAGAAACTCTATCTTTCCTTTCCATTTATTTGATGGGTTTTACATATAATGATGTTGTTCCTGTAGCCTCAATTATTCTGTGCAGAGTAAAGAGTAAAATTTGTTGTATTGGAAGAATAGCCACTAAGCCTCACGCACCGAGTTTCGTACTCAAAGAGCTGGCCTAAGATATTTGATATTACTTTGGCTAAGATATTTGTCCTTATTTTCTCATCTATTCCAACAGATTTACAACAATTCTTATTTTAATATTTTTCCAATACCTATTCGGTGCACAGTTTGATTCATTCCTGCCCCATTTGGCATCCTAGAAGTCTGCCAGGAGCCCATCCTTGTCCGGACCCTCTAGCTTGGGCGACCACTCCTTGCCCTCGTCGGACCGGGTCATTACAGAAGCAAGGGAATAGCTGCTGCTCAAAGTCAAAACTGAATAGGAGATCGATTTTGTGCTTGATTGGAATATGCCGGACCTGAAGCAGCATGGACAGATTCGTTTGTACACTGAAGATTACCATATTTGGGCTGTACTTAGCATTCGAGTTACGATTGTACCTTCGAACGCATTTCCATGAATGAAAGCAATTCTAATTGACTCTAAGATGGTTGAATCCGTGATGGTTGATCACACCTAATAGATGCTCAGGACAAAACTTAAATTTGATATGACGATGAAAATGTTCCAGTTGAATCAGAAACAAAGCAAGTAAAGCTGCAGTTTTTCACTTTTTACTGCCGGGTAGACGGTCCAAAGGAGCGATTTCCGAGCGAAACAAGCGCCCGACGATAATCTGATTCAGTATGTCACCCACGAGAACACCTGAGTCAGCATCACCACCACCAAAACCAAACGAAGATGGTAATAGATCCCACAAAGATCAAGTCAAGCCATCTGCGCCCTTCTTGTCGCCACCTTCCCTGTATATAAGCACACCCGCAAAACATTCCAAAGAAGTGTTCACATCTCTAGAGTCATCCTCTAAGCCTTCTCCTTCTTCAATCTCCTCTCTCTCTCTCTCTCTCTCTCTCTCAGAAATGGTGATGCAAAAGCTAGTAGTTTCATTCTTGTTCAGTCCCCTGCTGCTTTGGATTCTTTACGTTTCAGGTTTGCGATAAAAACTCGTCTCTTCTGATCACTTTCAGTCGATCCTTAATTCCCTCAAATGTTCGCTTTGTTTCAAATTACTTCTGAGGTTTGTAGAATGAATCCTTTTTGTGCAGGACATCCGTCCTTGGTTGAATGCGCCTCCCATCACCACCACCACCACCACCATCACCATCACCATCGCGTCCGGCATGTCAACGACCGCCATGCCGTGTTTCGTCTGACAAAGATGTTTGTCTTCGGAGATTCGTACGCAGACACAGGGAACAACCCGATAGTCTTGGTAAACTCGTGGAAGGTTCCCTACGGAATCACCTTCCCCGGCAAACCCACCGGTCGATACTCGGACGGCCGGGTCTTGACCGATTTCCTTGGTCAGTGTCTCTCTTCCTCTGAGCTTTCTCCGTTCCCCGCGTTTATTAATGAATAAGAACAAACCTTTCAATTCAGGAAGAGAGAACTGAACTCTGTTTTGTTTGGACGTATTGCTAAAAAGACAGGATGACGTGCTGTCATCCCAATTGCATCAATCCTTTGTTTATCTACACAAACGGAAGAACATCACATCATGATTGCGATTCATTACCATACTAATCAATCATTCTAGAACAAAACACATGAAGAAGAGGCTAGTAATCCAGTGTGAATATACGAATATGAAGTGGTGGGGCTCCTCTTCAACCTTGTCTCGCCACTTACTCAGTAGTGCCTCCTGTGCGGGCCTCTCGCATTGCTTTTTCTGCAAATGTTTTGCCTTTGCCTTTTATCTTCTATCTTTTCAGATCAGCCTGCTACCTTTCCCTCAGATTCCCACCTTTCCATTATCACATGCCAAGAGGCCACTACTTTACTCTTTTTTTCTCTCTTTGACTGGTTAGTCCCCAAAAACAGCTGATTGTGATACGGGATCCATCGACCACCAAAAGATTCTAATACAAGCTTCAGTCGATTTTAGTCCAACATATTCGGCCCATCTACTTCCTGAGGTGAGAAGTTCTTGCGAGCTGCCCAAATCCGGCCGGAATCTTGGCGTGCATGACCTGTCCTTGATCCGATTGTAGCCATGGACTTAGTCTGGTATCTGACAACCAACTCAAATACCTATAAGATCGCCAATTAAAAGAATTAGGACCGGCTGCTTTGATTTTGATAAGGACAAACGGCGACACATCTATCTGATCCTCACTTTCTGTCACCCTTCTAACATGTTCTAACATGCGGTCGTTGTTATTACATGCAGCTGCACATATCGGAGTGAGATCACCAATCCCGTATAGGTGGAGGAAGGTCGGGTCCAAGTATGTGAAATACGGAATGAACTTTGCGTACGGAGGGACGGGGGTGTTCGACACGCTGTTTTCTCAGCCAAATATGACACTCCAGATCGATCGGTTCCAACAGCTCATCGCCCAATCTGTCTACACTGGACGAGATCTTCAGTCTTCGCTCGCTCTCGTTACCAACTCCGGCAACGACTACTCCACATACTTGGCCAAGGGTGGCTCTTACGAGGTAATAACTCATATTGGATCTCGAGAACAGTACATTTTCTATTTAACTATGTAAAGATAGTGAAGTTAATATTTGAATTTTGAAAAAACAAAAGCGCTGGTTACAACGCTTCTCGCGTGAAAACATTGTTCCTCAGAAAATGTCTGAAGCTTCACAAGGTGCACTATGGACGAGATGCACCTGACGGCCAGGATCTGGGCTACCAAATATGCGCAGTGGCCCATCCTGTGACGTTCTTGTCTTAATTGCATTGGTTTTCACTCAGTCACGACCTCACCATCTTTCATAATCTTACCTAATCCGATCCCTTAATGGTTTGATCCTCCCAAAATATGAGAACACTCGTGCATTATGCCAAAAAAAAAAAGGGTGTCTAAATCAGATAAAATCAGAAAGCTATGGACTCGATGAGTCATGAGTTGAATTGGAACGGTTGGGATGATTATCAACAGTACTCAAGCCTACCACAGATGGAATTTAATTTGTTTTCCGATGACGTGGAATGCACGATTCACTGATGAAAGAAGATGTGGATGAAGTCACCCGATCCCTTAGGCACATCTTGCTTTCATCTTGAACTGCTAACCAATCTGCACATTCATTAGCTTTGCCTTCAATTGTCACTTACCGGTATTCTCATGTTAACCGATGCTTCCATTGTGTTACACTTCATAGATATTTGTCTCGTCGGTTGTCTCTGTTTGCTGCGGTGATGCTGAAAATCTTGAGGGCTTGTCTATGCTCGTCAGGACTTGCCAAAATTCATAATACAGGTGGTGAACCAGCTCGCTTTGGACATAAAACGCATCCACGACCTGGGCGTGAAAATGATAGTCGTTGCAGGTCTACAGCCTTTGGGATGTCTTCCTCGGAGCACCGTCTTCGATTCTTTCCGAACTTGCAATGTGACTGCAAATTCATTGGCAACCTTCCATAACCAGCTGTTGCAGCAGGCGGTCGCAAAGCTGAACAACCAGACACAGGCATCGCCTGCTTTCGTTGTCGTCGATCTCTATACCTCATTCATGTCCGTGCTTAATGACAAAGGTAACTTGTCTTGCACTTAGTAAGTATTGAATATCTAGATTCCTCGACTAACCCGTTTTATCTCACCCCATCAAAGGAATACTGGGTCGACCAGGCCTATGTACTCGCAGTCTCCCCTCACCAAACAACTTAAGTTTTTCGATGGGACAATCTAGACCTACTTACGCACAACCACAGCCATTTCCTAATCTTGGTTTATTCGTCGTTCTTTGTTATGTTTCTGTATTTCCAGCAAGTACCAAGTTTCAGGAACCGCTGAAACCATGCTGCGTGGGGACAAACAGCAGTTATTCGTGCGGGAGTGTGGATGAAAGTGGGCAGAAGCAATATGAACTGTGTAAGGACCCGAGAGGTATGTTCTTTTGGGACATGGTGCACCCTACGCAGGAGGGTTGGGGAGCTGTGTTTTCTACATTAGGACCCCATCTCAAGCTACTATAGATTGATATATTCCCATTTACTACTCAATAATTCACGGTCTTCAGTGTGGATAAAAACCTTGAATGGTCTTCGGTGGTCTCGAATTGGAAACGCGAGAGAGAGAGAGAGAGAGAGAGGGTATTGTGTGTTAATAACTATGTACACTTGGATAGTTTTAACCTTATATTATAATGTACGTGCAAGATTGACAAGCGAAATCTCTATCGAAAAGTTGATGTGGCATGCGCCAATTTAAATTAGTTGGCCCACACTCGTTGATTTAAATTTTTTTAGTGAAGTGGGTAATTTTGAATATAGAACATGTGCTCAGTCTTAAGCTCTCTCTAGTTATCTCTCTAGTATATTGAGCAATATGAGAGTCAATAATTAACTAATTGACCCTCAATGTGGATTGGTGTTCGATGAATTTCTCAAATAAATAAATCCTGTGATCGGCGCAATTGTCAAGTAAGGATTTCCATCAAAGTTCGGTCTAGAGGAAGAGATGGAGATTCAAGTTAAAATGTGTTAGTTCAAAAGGACACTTCAATTAAGAGGGAGGGGACCTAAACAAAATGCTCACATATGACGGGAAGAGTTGTTCATGAGGTGCACATGTGAGTCAAATTGAATATGTAAATCGATGTGTTCGGAATTGGACTCTCTCCTATGTCCACATGAGATATTGACTATTCAGTTGCGCGTTAGATCATTGAGGGTATGAAGCGAGCACCATTTGCACATTCATGTTGACCCTCGAGCATAGATATTGATTATAAAAATGCTAAGTTATAGTGAAATTAGTGTTCTATATCATAAAAAGCATCAACTGTCGAACACCAGAAGATATTCAAAAAGGTGATCATTTTGCCCCCCACGTAGAACGGTAATGACCTATCAACGCAACGTGGACATGGGATGATGTCGTGAATGGATTGATGACCTGCTCGTATCATTGGATCTGGGCCACATATCTAAAATTGAAAACCAGCCAAGTAGATCGTACGGTGACTATGCACTCGATGCGTGCTTGGTTTCTAGGCCGCACAGTGATGTTTGGCCCAATTATTTCGTCTTTGCGCGAACAATATCATATCTCCTGCTTGGGCAATTTCCTACGCCACTTGGATCAACACTATCATGGTCATCGAATGTCTAGGCTTTATAGTAAAATCCAGGGTAAATTACCGATCCAATCTTGAACTAATTGTACGGATGTCATTTTAATTTTAAACTTTTTAATTTTGCTAATTTATATTCCGTTCGTTTCGCAAAAAATATGATATTTCTGGAAAACGTTTTCTAGGAAAATGACAATATTTTTGCTATTCGTGTGAAACCTCAAAATAAAGTGGAAAATATTTTCAGCCGTTCGGTATGAAAAATCTGACTGGATTTTCTTCCTTACACTCCTTTTAATAATTTTTATTTAAATTTATTTTTAAAAAAATATTCGAATTTTTAATTATTTTTTATTTTAACAATTTTTTTATATTTCTTTTCTTTTATTTTCTTTTTCTCTTCTTTTTTTGTTTCTCTTCTTCCTTCCTTTGCCAGTCACTGGCCACAGCGACTAGCAATAGGCAAGCCTTGCTGGCCTCGAGCTCGGCCTCACTCGAGGCCGGTGAGCAAGGCCAGCGAACGAGGTTGAGCCTTGCTTGTGACTAGTTGCCTGCCACGGCGGCTGGCAACCGACAGAGGAAGGAAGAAGAGAAAAAAAAAAAAGAGAGAAGAAAAGGAAAAATATTAAAACTAATTAAAAATTTGATTTGTTAAAAAAAGAAAAAATAAAAATAAAGTAAAATGTGTTTTGTGAAAGGAAATGAGGTGAAAGAAGATATGGAAAATTATTTTCACTTACACACTTTTGAAGGTTTTTTCTCCTTTGAGGGAAATGTTTTCTATGATTAGTTTATTTTCCGTAAAAGGAACGTCGAAAAATCTGGAAAATGTTTTCCTAGAAGTTATTTTCTATGAAACGAACGGAGCCTTAGTCGAAAACCTTTACGCGATATTTTAATGTAATCCTTCCGACCAATTGCCGCCGGCAATCACTCATGTAAGATGTCATTTCGAACAAAGTTATCCACGCCAGCATGCCACGTAGAACGGCTGGCGATGGCTAGATGTTACATAAGCAATTTCTGGCAGCAATTGGCCTGAATGATTATATTAAAATTTTACACAAATATTTAGGACTTTTGGCAATATAAGAAATTTTAGGACTAAATTGGTATTTGTATAATAGGTTTTTGACTGACTTGGTAATTATCCTGTGAAGTCCACAATATCAGTGACTATGATGATATCGGTCCTATGTAAATTAAATCTATGATGTAGTTCCATGCATACATATTTACCAGTTGAATTCAGGCCACAGATGGTGGGTGCAAGGTAGTTGACAGCTAACAAAATAAACGTGTGAAGGTGTTAGGCGAAAGAGCCCATTCCTAAGAATCAATATGGTGTTGAGCAGTAAATAATATATAGTTGATGCCCATAACTCATTGATTTGCATTTATGAGAGAATGTATGTTTAACTAAATATGTGAACTCGCATAAACTTTTAGCTTCATTTTCATGATTTTCCATAGTTAGGAGGTACCGAGGTGATATCGGAGAAGCTGATTGCTAGGTGGGGCTCTCAATGATTCATCGACATTTGCTGCACATCTCAATGAAGAGGTCTTGTTGACCATCATCATCTGAGTGAAAATTTCAGTCACTTTTGGGTCCGGTCGGAAGAGAGACATGGGTAAAAATAGGAAGTGATTATTGAGAATTTTGAGATGCACGTGTGAGAGTGGATAAGGCAAAAGAGTCGCACATCTACGAAAGTACCTGATGTGGGGCGGTTAAAAATCTCTGACAGGTCATAACTCATTACCTCATACTATTAATTGGTGCAGACTTGTGTTCTCGCTCTTGAAGCGTACCGCACTTTTGCTGCACGTCTCAAACAACAACAGAGCGACAGAGAAAGAGAAACAAGGGTTTCTTTTGTATAAATTGACACATGCCGCATATTCAATGATACAGTAAGTAGGAAACGAGACCGAGATAGGAGGAGGCCCTCCTCCTCCATCCAAAACTATATTAAAAAAAACCGGTCAAAACCGTACTAGTGGAAAAGGGTGACTATCAGACCAAAAAAAAGAAAAGGGTGACCATGATGATGATTGTATATAGAAGTGGAAGATTACATAGATCCATTGCTTCAAACTCTCTGTCCCATTAATTCGACACGACAAGACACCATGACAACAGCATTCGATCATCAGTGGCTTCTGCGAGCGATTCCCAGTTTCTTCTTTCGCGCATATCTGCTGAACATATGATGCGCAAGTTTGACAAAATTTGAAAGTTAATAGAATTTTCCTTGTCAGTGCAAGATCACAAGCCGTCGCCCAAATTTCCACAAATGGGAGTCAATCATATCCAACTGTATCCTTATGGCCTCATGTTGCACATGTTGATCTTTTCGACTGAACAGATCCATTGAGGATATACTTCCATCAAGTTCCTTTCCAAACGCAAAGTATCAACACGGGGATAAGAACATTAGGAGTGCCATAACTTTCGTACGGTGTTCACTTAAGTGCCATAACTTTTTTTTCGCACACTTAAGTGTTACAAATTTGAAAAAACAATCACTTAAGTACCATCGGTGATTTGTCTTGCCGGAAAATCCAACGTGGACGTCGGTCATCCTACGTGGCATCGCCGACGCTGATATGGATAATTAATTAAAAAAAAAATCCATGTCAAAACAGAAAATTAATAAGAAAATCCAGGTAAGATAATTTGCCGGGAATGACACTTAAATGATCGATTTTGCTCAGATGTGGCACTCAAGTGAGCGCCGTACGATAGTTATGGCACTCCTGTTGTCCATATCCAAAACATTTTTATTTATAAACGAAAAGGTTGAGGAGGGCCAATCAATGCAATTCATTTTGAACTTTACCATAAGGGTCACACATAGACAAATGCCTTGCATTAATTAATTCTTTATAAAACATATTAATAGAAGTAGGTACCATATTTATAAAACTAGGTACTTCTCATGAATGAGGCCCATTACATAGAAAATCCAAAATATTTTAAATTTAATTTTCAACAAAGATCAAAATTAAAATATCATCAAAACAATTATTATGTACTAATACATAAGTAGTATTAATTATAAATAATATCATTCGACTCTTCTTTTTCTCAACCACCGTACGACCCTTGAATCTAGAAACCCGTCATACTCTCTCATTATTTTACTCGCATCAACTCAAATATAATTAAGTAGGTTAGGTTTAACATTTAAATGAGTAATTATGTGAAAAGGATAAATGCAAAAAGGCCTTTTTCCATCCATTTTTTGACTTTCGATGCCCCCTATTACCTTAAACTAACCATAATATCTCTTGCAGGTCCATATTAAGATTATTTCTTACCTTTCTTTTCTTTTCTTTCTTTGGAAATTCTGATGCATTTAGAATTGACAAAAAAATATGTATTTGCCAATGGTTTGAGTGGATTGTCTTATAATGCAATTACAATTATCATAATTTTCTTATCAATAACTAATTATTCCACTTAATGAGCCATACTTTTCTATTTTGTCAATGTAGTCCTAAATTTTTGAGCAATTTTCCAATGTAGTCTTTCCCGCCAATTGCCACAAAAAATCGCTGACGTGGTGTTTAGTCATGGCCGGCAATCCAAAGTGGAAAGTTAGGATGGCAATTTGTTGATTTCCAAGTCGCAATTTGCGACGGCAATTGGCAAGAAAGGCTACGTTTAAATATCGTGCAAATGTGTTGGACTATATTGACAAAATTGGAAAGTTAAAACTGAATTGACATCCATACAATAGGTTTAAGACTAAATTGATAATTTTCCCAAATATTTAAATAATCACTCCTTCAATGGACACGTGTATAAGCATTTTTGGGATAAGTACACTAGGAGTGCCATAACTTTCGTACGGCGCTCACTTGAGTGTCACAAATTTGAAAAATCGATCACTTAAGAGTCATCCGCGATTTGCCTTGCTGGAAAATCCGACGCGACATCGCCGGCGCTGACGTGGACAATTAAAAAAAAAATCCACGTCGAAATGGGAAATTAATAAAAAAAATCCATGTAGGAAGGTTTGCCGGAAATGGCACTCAAATGATCGATTTTACTCCGATATGGCACTTAAGTGAGCGAAAAAAAAGTTATGGCACTCAAGTGAGCGCCGCACGAAAGTTATGGCACCTCTACTGTTCTTATCTCTATCAACATGTCTTTCATCAAAGACAAAGTGGAAGGTCTTCTAGGCTCCGTTTGTTTCGCGAAAAACATTTTGCGGGAAAATATTTTCCTCATTTTCCCGCGTTTGAATCGTTTAGGAAATTTTTGACAAAAAAAAAATCATTTAGGAAAATGAATTTAATGGAAAATCAATACTTTAATTGAAGAAAATGATTTAATCTTTAAAAAATCGAAAATCATTTTGCAAAATATTACTAAATATTGACGCTTGGACCAGAAACTTTACATTTGAGCACGAAAACCCCAACACTTGTTCTTGGGGGTTCCCGGACCCTTGACAATGGCCCCAAGTTTGGGCCGAGTCCACTAGGATCCATCAAGGCCAAGCCACAGAGGTTGGGCTCGGAACACCAGTGCCCGTGGCTAGGCCTAGGACCACGATACCATTGCACGACTCCTCGGTGCCCCAACCCTGGTCCACAAAGGCCAGGCCTAAGACCCCGGTGCTTGTGCCCAAATATCTTCCTCTCGGGCCCCGAGTCCATTGAGGTCGGGCTTAGGTCCACAGCACCCAGGTCTAAGACCTACACCCGAGACCGGGTCCATCAAGGTTGGGACCGTGACCCTAGTATCGGTGCCTAAGTCCCCAGGCCCGTGTCCATCGAGGTTGGTAGTTCAAAGCACCCTTCATTGACATGGCGAGCTGCTATAGCTAGGGGTGAAAAAACACCCAAATCGCCCTGACCCAACCCGATCCGAAAATTCAAGATATTTTCGGGTCGGGTCTCATTCCTGTTCGGGCAGTGAGAGAAACAATGGATACCTTGACAATTCGGTTCAGGTCGGTTTGGGTCGGTTCGAGTACCCTAACGACCCGAAATATATTAAATATAAATACTAAATAGGAAACTCCTCCCTCCTCCCTCCTCCATCTCTTTTCTCACGTTCCTCAACAAGCTCTCCTTAGCCTCCGTCGCCGTCGCCACCTTCACCTTCCTCCTAACCGCCGTCGCCGCCATTACCCCAAATTCTCCTACGACTTCAGCCGCCGCGAGTTCCTCCCCTCGACAAGAAAGAACAAGCACCTCCGGTCCTCCCACGCCTTCCGCGGCTTAGTCCTCTCCCACCGGCACTTCTTTGACTCGATCCCCGATCTAAGCCTCCTCCGCAACCACTCCAAGGTCCTCTAGGTCTCCGCCGGAACCGGCCACGAGGTCATGGTGCTGTCCGAGTCGGGCGTTGCCGATGTCACCGGGGTTGACTTGCCGCCTCTGGTAAGCCGCGTTGGTCTGCACAATTTGCGCATCTTCGATGGGGTTTTCGATTTGGCGTTGAGTGAGCATTTGGAGGAGGCTCTGTTCCTATCACGATTCGCAGCGGAGATGGAGATGACAATGAGGGTCGGCGGTACGGGTGTCAATGGGTTGGGTCGGGTCGGGTTTCCATGATACCCGACCCAACCCGACCCGAAACTCACAGGAATGTGCTTAACCCAACCCGAACCGGCCCGAGGCCCGAACGATATATATCCCAAAAGATCGGGTCGGGTCGGGTCGGTCCGGGTAGGGTTTCTGGTATTTTTTTTTCCCTCTTCGTCCCTTCACCTCCCTCTGTTTCCAGGCTCACAGAAAAGTATGAAATGGAAACATTCCCAATTCAAACAAACTTCAAATATCTAAATTTGTCACGATCCCTTCGTACTTTGATTAAAAATAATTTCTCTATTGTGATTGCTATAGCAAACTAGATCTTGATTGTTTAAAGTATCTAAGGAAAAGAAGAGCCACATTTTCACTCTTGTGAATACACCTAGCGGTCGATCCAAATTCGATTGAACAAAAACATCAAAATTTACAAGTATGGGAAACATGATACTGAGACTTTTCAAGTAGAAGATTACAGTAAAAGAGAGCAATCAGCTTTACCCCATTTACAAAATGCTTTTAGCCATCTTCAATCCAATCAAAGTAACATTAACAACACCCACAAATCTTGACTTCCTAAACAAACCCACAATCTCCTCCACCTTCACGTGACTGCACTCCTCAACGACCACCACACAAGCCCCGCCGACTCTCGTTGTCATCTCCATCTCCGCTGCGAACCGTGATAGGAACAGAGCCTCCTCCAAATGCTCACTCAACGCCAAATCGTAAACCCCATCGAAGATGCGCAAATTGTGCAGACCAACGCGGCTTACCAGAGGTGGCGAGTCAACCCCGGTGACATCGGCAACGCCCGACTCGGACAGCACCATGACCTCGTGGCCGGTTCCGGCGGAGACCTAGAGGACCTTGGAGTGGTTGCGGAGGAGGCTTAGATCGGGGATCGAGTCAAAGAAGTGCCGGTGGGAGAGGACTAGGCCGCGGAAGGCGTGGGAGGACCAGAGGCGCTTGTTCTTTCTTGTCGAGGGGAGGAACTTGCGGCGGCCGAAGTCGTAGGAGAATCTGGGGTAGTGGCGGCGGCGGTTAGGAGGAAGGTGAAGGTGGTGACGGCGACGGAGGCTAAGGAGAGCTTGTTGAGGAACGTGAGAAAAGAGATGGAGGAGGGAGGAGTTTCCTATTTAGTATTTATATTTAATATATTTCGGGTCATTAGGGTACTCGAACCAACCCAAACCGACTTGAACCGAATTGTCAAGGTATCCATTATTTCTCTCATTGCCCGAACATGAATGAGACCCGACCCGAAAATACCTTGAATTTTCGGATTGGGTCGGGTCGGTTTGGGTTGGGTCGGGGCGATTTGGGTATTTTTGACACCCCTAGTTGGCGGGGCTTGTGTGGTGGTCGTTGAGGAGTGTAGTCACGTGAAGGTGGAGGAGATTGTGGGTTTGTTTAGGAAGTCAAGATTTGTGGGTGTTGTTAATGTTACTTTGATTGGATTGAAGATGGCTAAAAGCATTTTGTAAATGGGGTAAAGCTGATTGCTCTCTTTTACTGTAATCTTCTACTTGAAAAGTCTCAGTATCATGTTTCCCATACTTGTAAATTTTGATGTTTTTGTTCAGTCGAATTTGGATCGACCGCTAGGTGTATTCACAAGAGTGAAAATGTGGCTCTTCTTTTCCTTAGATACTTTAAACAATCAAGATCTAGTTCGCTATAGCAATCACAATAGAGAAATTCTTTTTAATCAAAGTACGAAGGGATCGTGACAAATTTAGATATTTGAAGTTTGTTTGAATTGGGAATGTTTCCATTTCATACTTTTCTGTGAGCCTGGAAACAGAGGGAGGTGGAGGGACGAAGAGGGAAAAAAAAATACCCGAAACCCAACCCGGACCGACCCGACCCGATCTTTTGGGATATATATCGTTCGGGCCTCGGGCCAGTTCGGGTCGGGTTAAGCACATTCCTGTGAGTTTCGGGTCGGGTCGGGTATCATGGAAACCCGACCCAACCCAACCCATTGACACCCCTAGCTATAGCTCGAAGTTCTCTTCATCAACAAGGCGAGTTTCTGTAGCCTATAGACCCTTTTATTCTCCTAACAAACAATAATAGTTAAGTCTTCTTACTAAAAGAAAAAAATCGCCCACCCAAAACAAGATTCAAGAGAGAGAAGAGTGAGAGTATAATGGCTAAATGCGCTTTAAATGATTCAAGGGCTTAATGTAAGCTCCGAAAGCACATCATCAATCGAATGTCGTTTTCACTTCTTTCCTTTGTTACCCTTTCATTATGTCAAGTCATTCAGCTAAAATTAAGGTATCATTTAGTCTTTAATAGGATTTCCTCTCAAAGAGAAGCAACTGCTGACAATTGAATTTTCGCTGATAGGCCTAATAAAGATAAAACCCGAGACTTAGGATTCCTGATCGCAATAAGACCCGTTTCTCAACCAAAAAGAGTCATTTACACGCCATTAGAGTCCCATTTGAATATAGTGACTAAGAGGATCCCATTTCATTTGTATTTGGGTGTCATTTTCCAAATAAATCAAAGGTTGACTTTGTTTTTGGGTCAAAATAAAGAACTGAAAATTAAAAGCCTAACTATGCATGTAAGGATAAAATTGTCTCTTTGTGATTTTCATAAAGAATAAATCATATAATTTTCATTTTTTTATAAAAACGATTGAGGGTTGACTCTTTGGTCAAACCGAAGACTTTGACTCTTGATTTTTTTTGTCTAAATTCAACCCTCAATTAAAAAATTCCAAAATTCATTTATTTGATTTCTATTTTAAACATTTGATCCAAAGACTAAGATAATTCAAATATTTCAAGCCCAATTTCAATTATTCTCGGCATGGATGGGATAGTCAACATTCGAACACGAGTTTAGGGTTATGGTTGACTGTTCATAGTAAAGTCAAATAACACATTTTAAATCCAATTAAGCCTAATAAATTCAATTTTAATACCATTTAGGCATCATGAGATAATTTAAAGAAAATAACGCAATTGAGAAATCTTGGGTCAACCCAGGTTGAGCCTATTTGATCAAAGCCAACCCAAAAAAGTCTACTCACTTAGCCCATAGATCCCATGGCGGGCCCCTCTTCATATTATTACCAAAATGACATATCTTCAATTATCAAAATTAAATTTTATGTCAACAATCCTTAAGAAGAGCTAATCCCATTCATTTTCTTTCTAATTGTAGCCATATAATGTGTCATGTCACCTATCTTGATCTATGTGACTTAATAAGAGCCAATCAGATCATTCCTTGCTCATTAAGGAATGAAAGTAAACCATAAGATCAAAATGAGAATCAAGGGCTAAGATTTGAGAAGAAATCAAATTTCCCTCTCTTAACAAAAATTCTCTGAGAACACAAGACATTCGTACACAAAAATGCTCTAAAAAAACATCTCTCTCTCATATGTCCTTGCACCGTTGGTATTCCGGCCATTTTCCATCATGATTATGGCGCCGATATACCTAGCTTGTCGTGTGACAACGTTCCTTGGTCTATACGCAAGCTAGCCATGCTGATCATTGTTCATTCTTGTTGCCAGATTCGTTCAATTTTGTAGAATTTCGATAATTCCTCACCGGTGATCACTTAAAGGTAAGTTTTCTTAATAAACTTGTGATGATAATTACAAAGGATCATCCGAGAATCCTTGACTCAATGATAGTCCAAAATTGAAGTCACAACTTCAATCTATGATTGAATTTCAAGGTAAGGTGTGATGAAATCAAATAGCAATAGTTAAAGCATAAGATTCAATTTAGAAGATTGATTGTCAATTCATGTTTTAGACTCCCCAGCATGTTCAATTTCATGTGGCCAAAACCTCCTAGGTAGTATTTGATTATGAGTTTTGATTAGTAATCATGAATTTGTGCTTGATTCTATGAGTTTAGGTGTTGTTTCTTAGAAATTAATCATAGTTCAAGTTTGGTTTTGAAGTTTTGCATGATTGATTCAAACTTTTGGGATAAGAACACTAAAAGTGTCATTAATTTCTTACGGCGCTCACTTGAGCGCCACAACTTTTTTATTGCTCACTTTTTTTTTGTCAGATTTTATTGTTCACTTGAGTACCACATTTATTAAAAATCATTCATTTGAGTGTCATTGATGATTTATCTCACCGGAAAATCCAACATGGCTTAAATTTATTTTGCAACATCCAACGTGGCTTGCCAACAAGATGAAGTCAGCAAGTGAGAAGGCAAACGACGTCGTTTAGTGATATGATTGAAGATCCTTATCCAATCTAATCAAATTGGGGCAAAATTCAATTTCGTTCACGAAGAACCCTAGCTCTAATTCTTCAAATTAGGGCAAATAACCTTATCAAATTTGCAAAAGAGATCAGATTAGATGGTCAAAGCAGCCATGAAACTCCCCCTCCAAAGGCGCCGATGACAAAGGAGAAAGTGAGAATGAAGTGCGAGAAAGACCCACAACAAGATCAAGAGCGACAACGAGACGGAAATCAAGGACGTCTCCAAATTAATAACCCTACTCCTCCACTTCCTCCTCACCAGAGAGCTCATCACCGATACATTCTTGCAAATCTATGGAGTCTGCGAGTTTCAAAGATGAAGCATAGAGAGAGAGACACACACACACACACGCCGTCATTTCTGTGAAGGAAGCATTTAGAGAGAGAAAGAGAAAAACGACCACGTTTTTGTTACTATAGCCATGTTGGATGAAGAATTTCCACATTGGACTTCAATTTGTTTTTAAAATGCCTCATCGGAAGGAAAATTTAAGTTAAAATGCCACATATGACAAATTGCCAGAATAGGCACTCAAGTGAACATTTTTACACAAATATGGTACTTAAGTGAGCGAAAAAAAAGTTATGACACTCAAATGAGTGCCGTACAAAAGTATGGCAATTGTGCTATTATTATTTCGAAACTTTTCTATGTTGGCTGAAATCATTAGAACATAAATTTGATGTTGATATGAGTAGTAATTGATCAAAGGTTGAAGTAATATTGCATGAATGTTGATTGAAAAGCAAGTTAAATTGAAATCATGTAAATTCCTTAGAAATCATGGCTCAATTAATGTTAGATGACAGAGTTTGATGTTAGAATGTTGAAGATGTGCTTGAATGCTCAAATGTTTGAGTTGAAGGTGTTTTTGGAGTAGATGAATGTGCTTAATGATTTTTACGGGAAAATCAGACTATTCTGAGTTCATTGATTTTTACAGGAAAATCAGCTTAGAATCAAGAAAACTAATCTTCAGATGAATTGTATTTGAAAATAATTGCTTTAATTTAATATAAGACTGATAGAATTTGAAGATCATTAAGGTTGTCAAAATTGAGTAAAAAACCCCTGGAGTAATTGAGTGTCAGATCTGGAAATTTGGTCTCAGCGTCGACTAAACTTGTTTTGCAATTATAAAAAAGTTAAAGGACTAATTAGCAAAAGGGAAACATATGAAAGTTGTAGAGGATGTCCTGAACTAAAAATGCCCAAAAATTTATAAAATTCTACGTAGGATTGGGCGGTCAATTCAATTGAATAAAGTCAAAGTCAGAATTGTTCTACAAAACTGATATAGAGTGAGTCCATGGGGTAAATCGCATAATTTCTCATAGCTAGAAGGCTATTTTATAAAATCTCAAAAAATGAAAGTTGTTAAAACGTGTAATGAACAGTCTGTCTGTCAAATTTGGTATCTTTTAACGGTTGTTTGATATTTTTTCGTAATCTTAAAGAATCAGGTCTAAACAGGGCAAAATATAGAGCAATCCGGTTTAATTAAATTTTATGTATTAATTGGGCCATAAATTATGAAAAGTGATCTTAATGAAAGTTGTAAAAGACTTAATAATATTTAATTGAAAATTCAAATCACTCAATTTGGAGTTCATTAATTCCTTCAATTGGATTAAAACTTAAATGGCCAAAATCATGGGTAAAATTGAAGTTGACCTCTTGATCAACTAATTGATTTAGTGATTT